GTTCCAGCAAGAGGAAACACAAATGAACATACAGCATATAGGTTAGGGTAACACAACCACAGACCTGGGTCCTAGCGTCCATCACTATGCTACAGCCTAGCTTCTCTGGCCCAGAAAGGCCAGAAGATGGAACATGCTGGCTTCAGTGAAAGCAACTCATGCCCACACCCCAGTTTTCTAGTCTCCCAAAGAGACTTCCATAGCAGGGACTAAAGAACTTAGTTCATCACAAGAGACTCCTCAGGACCCTTTCCGTAGGTTTCTATGTTAGCAAGTCAGTCTTAAACTTCTACCTCCTTGCCATGAGGCATCCAAAAGGATAAAGAGAGGCTGGAATAGGTAGGTTGGAATTAAGTGAGGACATATTCCAGGACAGCATCTTCTGTCTTACTCAGATCTTTAGCCACCACTTTCAAGGGGGAAACAAAAGCTGCTGGTAATGACCAGATTCCTAAGGCTATCCTTATTTCTAGGAAGAAGAGACTCCTTTAGCCTTTGCAGGAAAGTAGAGAAACATTTCAGGTCCCCTTTCCCAGAGCCGAGAGAGAAGTCAAGAGTTACTCCAAATGTGGCTAGGCCTGCAGGTCTCAGAGAAAGCTCTTGAATCCCTTCCCAGAGAAGAGGGACTGGGTACCTCTGGTTTAGGAGATAAGATGCCAGAAGACCAACTCTCGCCTGGGTTAGGGACAAGTCCTTAGGCTTGGAGATAAGATGCCAGAGGGCCAATTCTCCCTGGGGGCAGGAACAAGCCTTTGGGGCTGGAAGAGGCTTTTGCACAGATGGAAAAAAAAAAAAACACACACACACAAAAAAAACACTTCTGAGCGCCTCTGGGGACACCAGGCCTGACTCAAGGCACTACTAGGCTCCCTCTACCAATAAGGCCAGAAGATGAGTCAGAGACTGTGGCCAGGAGCTTCCTCCTAGACTCAGGAAATGAGCAAGGGCTTTCTCAGACCTTCAAGCTGCTCTGAATGGTTTGAAAGGGAGCCCCCAGGGGAAATCTATGGCCAATGGGATGTGGGGGTGGAGCAAGCGAGTGGGAGACAGAGACCGGCAGACCCAGCTTCTATACACGCCCATGAAGGGTGCAGGGATGATAGAGGCCAGTGCCCAGAAAGGGACGGTAGAAATACTTTTTCCGTCTCCTGTCTTCTCCAGGACAGCTGTACACCAGATCCCAGATAGCTGTATGCAGGATGAATTAGTGGACAGACAATCCTTCCCTCTTAATTCTGCCCTACAACCTGGGACAGGGATGCCTGGGTTTGGGGTCCATTTCTCCCTTCTAGAAGTCTTAGAAAGGCAGACCTGAGTCATGTCTGGGCCCCTGGGGGACCCACTTACAGGATGAAGGGAGAGAACCAGCTGTTGACATTTCCTGAAGAGGGGCCCTGCTCCCCCCTCTCTTAGCTCTCTGATGTCTCCTCTGCCCTATTCTCAGTCCTTCCTCCAGCCTTCTATTCTGGGCCTGTGGTCACAGTTTATATTTGGGATGAGCACATCATGGTGCATCTAACCATTCCTAGAGTAGCTGCCAGTTCTAGGGAGTCCTGACTCCAGACACTATTGTAACTTAGCATGCCCATCCAGTCCCCAAATTTTCCCAAAGGGGGAAGGGACATCCTCAGGTACTCCAGGTGGGAGATCCTAAAAAGGGACTGACAAAGACACTCTGAGTTTGGGATGGATGACTTACATTCTCTATGGGGCACAGTGGTGTCCTCGGCTAGGAAGCAGAGGACAGGCACCTGGTAGGGTAGGGAACTGCCCCCCAACCACCTTTTTTTTTGTGGTGCTGGGAATCCAACTCAGGCCCTTGTACATGCTAATCACGTGTAGGAGATGGGTTTCTAAATGAGAAGGGATGGTTCCTGGTCTCTCTCCCTCAGCTGACCTCCCAGACCTGTCCCCTGATGTGAAGAAGGGCATTCGTCCTCCTGTCCTATGTGGGGAAATGGGAGGAATATTATCATCCCTCTGGTGCTCCATCCTTATTCTTTTTTTCCCCCATAATTTTATTGATAAATAGCAATGAGACAGTTGCAAATCAAATCAGTAGGACAGTTTCAATAATTAACATACTGCATACATTCTTCCTAGTGGTTAATTACTGTACAAGAATCATTCTATTCATCCATCCTTATTCTGAACCAGGAATTCCAGGAGCCTGAACAGCCTCAGTTCAGTACCCCTTTCCCTTTTCTGAATGCCAGGTGGCCTCTGGCCAGACACACTTCTTTGAGGTCCACTTCGATTTGTCCCCTCAAATTTGCAGGACAAAAAGGGTCTGCATCAAAACAATGGAGGTGGACAGTGCACTGCATCTTTCCAGCTGTGGCCTTGAAGCTTTATTTCCTAAACTCTAGTCACCCCCACCGTCTGCACCCGGAGGCAGAGGCGGGGCTGCCCAAGGAATGCAAGCTGGGGGCCTGCTGCCCGGGGCACATTCCAGGGGAGACCCCGGGCCTAGGGGGCATGTTTGCGCAACTCTGCACACAGCTGAAGCACCCCCACCGACATCTCTCCTCTTCCCCGCTACTCAGGGCAGATTGGCTGACAAGGAATCCAGGAGTGGTAGTGCGCCTCCCAGAGTCCTGGCCCGGAAACAGAAGGCCGGAAAGGACTGCCTGCGGGGGGCTGAGCGCCGCAAGCCGAAGGGAAGGTCATCTGGAAAAAGGCCTCTCCCGCGTAGTACAAGGTCGGCCTTGGGACCTGATCAAACTAGGGAAGGCCAGCGATTTAAAATTAGCCGGGCCTGGCCATCTCCCTTCCAAGCGCTGGCCTGCTGCGGATGCGGGGGTAGGGTGGTGACTCAAAGGGCTTTTCCACCCGTGCAGTCTCTCGCGTTCTGCACAAGCTCAGGCTCGGCTGCTCCCTGGGGACTCCCCTTACCCCAAGGAATCCCTTCTTGGCCAGTCCCCCATCCTTATTTCAGCTTGAGCCCAAACTACAACAAAGAGACTTGGTCCCACAGGTCCCAAACTAGCCCTCAGACACCGCCCCAGCCCAAGCCACCTTCAGTGGCCCGCCCCGGTACCGCCTCTCCTAATAGCCCCACCTCCACCTCACCTGAAGCTGGTGGAAACCGCTCCCTCCCCAGCTCCGCCTCCTGGGTCTGCAGGAGACTAACTACTACAGTGAGGGTGTCTAGGGCAGCCACCGTGGCATAGGCTAGCGAGTGGACCCCGGGCACTTCAGAAGACCTCACTTTGAGAGAGCAGTCAGGGTGGCGCAGACCACCAGCTCTCGTCTTCTCTCTGAAGTCCCTAGAACTCCAGCCCAAGACTTTTCCAGAGGAGAGGACTGGCTCCTGCTTCTCGAGAGGCACCTCCCACTAGCTTTCTCGGTGCATACCCTGAACCTCCAATAGCCTCAACCCTTCTCCACCACCCTCACCTTGAGTGGCGCCCCCAGCAGGCGGTGCAGCGCTGCTATCTGCGCGCTCAAAGGCAGCGCTCCGTCCAAGGTACAGGTGGGAGCCCGGCGTGGCTCCGGGAAGTTGGCACATGCAAAGGGATCAGTGTCTTCCAGGTACTGAACCCTTACAGTCACCACTGATACCGGCTCCCCGTCCCCGCGGTCTTCCCCGCCCGCCATGGCTCGGCCGCCCGTTCACACCGCGAGCCTCAGTGTCCCTGCCAGGGGCCAGCTTCGCCTCGACTGGCTCCGCTGTTTGGGCCGGGCTGGACCGGACGCTGTCGGAGGGGCGGAGCGAGCCAGGCGGGGCCGAGGAAGGGGGTGGGGCCAAGACGAGGCCCCGAACTGGCGCTGGGGGCACACGGATAGGGGCGGGGTTTACGACAGCCACTCAGAGAGCCCGGCGCGATCCCGTTAGTTTCCTCTTTAGGAGGCGGGAAAACCCGAGCTTCCCCCATTCGGAGGGCGCGGGAAGGCAGGAGAGGCTTTCTTAGGTTCGGGGCTAAGTGAGGCTGAGCTTCACCGGAGAATGTTAAAGCCGGTGGGGCAGAAGTTTCTTCAGAGAGGTCCGTTCTCCCTTGAGGCCCGAATTCCTACAGCTTGAGATACCAGTCAGTAACAGGTTCTCAGTTTGGAGCAAAAACTGGAAAATAGATTCCACTGAAGAACAGAATCAGTTCCTTTAAGTAGTGCGTAGAAGGACGGGTAGCTCTTTCTCGAATAGGATGAGTCAGTCTGAGGAGGCAGGTAGTCCATCTTCGCCTCGGTTCGGAGAAGTGGTTGGGTGCTCCTTAGCTTGCTGGAAAAGAACAGACAATCCTCTGTTTAGGGCGAGATAAGACAAACACCCTAAAGTTGGGTGGATTATTCTTAGTTTACTGGGAATTCCATAGGTGCTGTCCAGTTTTGTAGAAAAAGTTTATAATTTCCTGTAGTTTGAGGGGAAAAAAGCCTTTCAATTTGTGAGATAAGAGGAAGTCTTTTCAGCCTAAAGTGACCTAAGCCCAGCCCAAGGTTTCTAGACGTTGAGGGTAACGCGGTCCACAGCTTTCTGGGAGCGCCTAGTGCGCCTGCGCAGTTCTGCTGGGTGGGGCGGGGGCTGAAAGGGGTCCCAGGTGAAGGGCAGCTGAGGGCCGAGCGGCTGGCTAACTCGTGTGCACCCACCCGGCGGTGCGATCCGTAACCTGCGGCCGCGGCCCCAGCCGTAGCTGCTCTCTACGAAAGAGCCGCGCCCCTCCCTCCAACCGAGCCTAGTTCCCAGGGGCCTCCGCCTCTCTTGTGACTTGCAGTCCCCCGCGGCTGTCCCCGGAGGGCGGTGGCCGCCTATTTCTCTGAATCCCGCGGGGGGCAGGTTTGGGAACGCGAACTCGAAGGACTAGGTTTCGGGACTCTGGGAAGGGCAGGGCTGGGGAATTTCCGCCCCTCGGGCTAGTCCAGAGCGGATGGAGGAAGGGACCTAGACTGAGGGCGTCCGGGGCAGGATCTCAGAGTCCCGACCTGACCCAGGGGGTATCGGGGCGGGGATTGGGGGGAGCGGGTCCCACGTGCTTGTGACGCGGGGGCGCCCGGTAGGTGGCGGCGGAGGCAGCGGCGACGTGGGGCTGGCGGCTGTGCGGTGCTGGAGGACGGCTAGGCAAGCTGCAGAATGCTGCGCGCCGCACTACCCCTGCTCATGCTGCCCCTAGCTGCGGCGCGGGCGGCCGAAGAGCCCACCCAGGAGCCTGGGGTGCCGGGTGAGTCTCCCCCGGGCTTGGCGCTCTTCCGGTGGCAGTGGCACGAGGTGGAGGCACCCTACCTGGTGGCTCTCTGGATCCTGGTGGCCAGCTTAGCCAAAATAGGTGAGTGCGTGTATGCTTGCGTTAGCCAGGCCAGGGTCAGGCAGCGGACCTGCGCCCAACTCCGGGTCCCCTATCTGGGCCGGCTTCTTGCACAGTGCTGGAACTTAGGCTCTGATTACACAAATCCCAGCTTTTACCCAATTCTTGGGTCTCCTCTTGCAGGTCTCACGCCTCATCTTTTCCCCCGTAGGAACTCTGAGAATTTGTCTTCTTGAAGCACCCCCCCCAACACCCCAGCTCCATCTTTGGGCTCCTTTGCTCTTTTTGCTCGCCTCTTTCGCTTGCATTGGGCCCTCCTCAGTCTAGCCTGCCCCCATCAGTGTCCAGCCTCCCAGAGAGCTGTCAGCGGTGAGGTGAGGACGTGTGGGGACACCTAGGGGATGGTAGTCTCCGGGAACCCACGCAGCCTAATCCTGAGGAATCAACCTTCCTTGGAGACTCAGGTCTAAGTGTGTATTTTCTTGGGATAAATTGCCATTTCCTTCTAGCTCAGCTCTGCTTCCCACTTTAAGACACCAGCTTGTACCTATGTGTGGGACCCTACACCCTCATTCAAGTTCACATTCGCCCACTTCAAGGCTTAAGAAAAACTTCCACTCCGGGCTGGGGAAGTAACTCACTTACCTAGCATATGTAGGGTTCTGAGTTTGACTTGCAGCACTGGGGAGGAGGCCCTTTCATTTATTGGTGCTTCACTGTGTGCTGCCCACCCTAGGTGCTTTTATGCATCTGACCTCCTTTAGTCCTCACAACATTGAAGGCTATGTTTCATTCAGGCTTTTTTTTTTATAAATAGAGCTGCTTTTCCTTGCTTCTTCTCCTTCCTCCTGTCTGATCAGCAAGTGGTCTCTCCTCCCACCAGAGACCCTCCTCCTCCCTGTTGAGTAGGCTCTGCTGTGGGGGTGACTAATTATAGCTTAGCGTTGCTACTTACTCCCCATCTATGCTGGCACAGCCTGTACTCCGGTCTCACCAATACAGCGGTCGTGTAGAATCCCACAGTCTAGAATTTGCCCCTTCTCTCCCAGACACTGCTTGGGGGTGGGTGCCTCAGCAAGAACAGAACTTTCCACTCTGCTTTGGCTGCTGGAGATTAATAATGGAAAGTAGGACTCAAAATGCCTCAGGGAGTCCGATTCTGTCAGAGACTTGGCTTTTCTAATAGTCCTTGGGCTTCAGGGCTAGTGCATGCTGAGAAGATGAGGGTGAAATAGGGTCCCTGAAGGAGTGCACTCTATAGCAAGAGGACCGAGAGCAAGGATGAATGTAGAATATGGCTGAGCTCACCCCATTGGCCTGGGAGCAAGGTGGGAACAGCCTCAGCTTTGGAGCTAAGGATTATTTTTACTGAGAAGCCTATGAGTTGTGGGAGAGTTCCTATCTTAGGGCTTATAGTCACAATTATAGTTTCCCCCATGTATTATAGTGCTTTTTCTAGTTTGGATGACACCTACAGAGAAAGAAGCCTCCTTTTTACCAGCTAGAGGAAAAAAAAGGATCCTCAGAGAAGTGGGCAAAGGTAGAAGAATGTCCAGGAACTCCTTCACAGCTTCATTTCTAGGAGATCCTTCTCTTTTTATTCAAAGGCTATTTATGTAGAGCCCACTGTGTACCAGGCACTGTTCTAGGCCCTTTGGATACAGCTGCCAAGGGACACTGTTTCAACATAGGTTTCATACAGACTAACAGGGAGCCTCTTCCACCAGCACCCTAGGGATTGTGTGGGGTGAGATGTGTTCATTTATGGTCTAAGGGCCCAAAGGAGATCTGTATTTTAGGGGACAAAGGTAGGAGCGAAAGAAATAGTGCTACAAACTACCCCCTGCCCCATCGTCTTTTCCTATAGACAGATTGTTATTATTTCTCTCCAGATTCATATTTGGTTAACATTTGTTGAGAACCTACTCTGTTCCTGTCACCATGCTAGGCACATTTGTACACTATCCCATTTTAGTCTCACTCATTGTGATAGAAATTTTTCCCATAATAACAAGAGATTGGCATTCATCAACTAAACTAAATAATTTGCCTGTGATCACACAGAGATAACATGTGAAGAAGTTAGAGATCTGACTGCTAAACCCAAAGCTTTTTAAACAACCAATTCCTTTTCATTCGCAGATAGTGAGAAGCACATTGGGCTGAAAGGCCTACTACAAAGCTCTTTTTTTTTCCCCATAACTTTATTGATAAACAAATAGCAATGAGACAGTTTCAAATCAAATCGGTAGGACAGTTTCAACAATTAACACACTGCATACATTCTTAGTGGTTAATTGCTGTACAAGATGCGGGCGTGACATCCCATTTATAAACACCATTAGAACAAATCATTCTATTCATTAAGAGAATGTAACTATATATCTAACCTAACCACTCTGAATACACAGATACAAAATGGACATTCATCTGTATACCTTTTTTTGGTTAAGTTCTGTTATTTGAATATTATAGGTGTGTAAACTCAGCAAAACATTCCAAAAGAGTCCACTAGTCCATAATAGTATTGGGTCTTCCGCTTCATTGGCAATGTCACAAATTGATGACCTGAGTCCCCCACAGCTCAATATAACAGCATGGCTTTACTTCTTATATTTCGTACAGTGCTCTTAAGTGATATAATATTCATTGTAGTTGGGGAGTCTTAACTATGTTACATATGTAATATAATAGCATTTATCATAACTGACTGCTTACTATAAAGCAGTGTGCTACATACTTTTAAATAGGGTGTTTATTCCTCATAGCAAACCTATGAAATCATTATTGTCTTTACTCCCATTTTGCTGATGAGAAAGCTGAAGGTCAGACAGGTAAAATTATTTGCCTCAAGTTTATAGTATACAAGTTAATGGAAGATGTAGTCCTTGAAGCCAAGCAGCCTAACTTTGGAGGATCTGATTTTTCCAGCTATGTTTTGAGTGGGACCTAGTAGCATTCAAATAATGAGTAAGGAAAAAAGATCAGAGAAAGCTGAGGGCCCCGATGAAGGAAGAGAGGAAGGGAAATTTCCAGAAAAGACAAAAGCAAGTAAAGATCTTGCTGCAGTGGAAGGTTTGTAGTGCTCTTAGAGGTTAGAGATTGTAGAAGTTTTGAGTTTCTTTTTTCCTTTCCTTGTCCCAGGGTTAGGGGTTCTGACTTCAGGCATCCTAAGACTAGGAGGTTATAGGTTGATATGTAATCCATAAGCTCATACGTGCTGCCTTCTTCTTGCATTGTAGTGTTTCACTTGTCTCGAAAAGTGACATCTCTCGTCCCTGAGAGCTGCCTGCTGATTTTGCTGGGCCTGGTGCTAGGGGGCATTGTTTTAGCTGTGGCGAAGAAAGCTGAGTATCAACTGGAGCCAGGCACCTTCTTTCTCTTCCTGCTGCCACCTATTGTGCTGGACTCAGGCTATTTCATGCCCAGTCGGCTGTTTTTTGACAATTTGGGTGCCATTCTCACCTATGCTGTGGTGGGAACACTCTGGAATGCATTCACAACAGGCGCTGCCCTCTGGGGCCTACAGCAGGCTGGACTTGTGGGTAAGTGACCCTGAAACTTGCGCTGGCAAAGTGGCTTTCCTCTGTCTTTTTTCCTCCAGCTCTGAAGGTGCCATGCTGGCAAGAGCCATCCTCTGGGAGTTCCATCTTAGGTCCCTCCCATCTGGAGTACAAGGCAGTGTTCCAAATGAGCCTCAGCCTTCATCTAGCTCTCTGCCAGTCAAGTCTGCTTCTGCAGCGTGACAGCTGAGCAGGGGCCTGGCTCCCAGCTGTGTGTAGGCTGCCAAGGCCGAGGAGCCTGCATTACCACTCTGGTGTCCCTGCCTGTGTTACCACACTGCCACTTGCCAGCCCTACTCCCTGAGGCACAGCTCAGCATTCCTTCAAAGGCCTATTGTTCTGACTGCTAAGGTCATGTCAGGGTATCTTTCTATTTTTACATTGTTTTAAAATGCATATTATACAGTCATAAAATGCCTGAAAGTATAATGGGCATTGTCTCTTTACTTATCTCATTGACTCTACAGCAACCTACTGGTGTGGAATTTGTCCCATTTAATAAATGAGAAAGTAGAGCCCATTAAGTTTGCTTAATATCAGGCCAAAGGTTAACCTTCATTTTATTGAGTCTCCTTGCCCTTAGGCCTTCTCCTAATCCCTTTGTGTCCCGACCCAAGAAATTGATTCATTCCTAATTGTGATAATTCAGAGTTCTTCCAAGGTAAAAAGAAGTCTGAAATTTCCAGCTGGGGACATCTACCTGGTTTTTCTAATAAGATAATGAAGTATTTTGGGCAAGGGAAGGGATGACATCAAATCCTTATCTTAGCAGCCATTGTAATAGTAGGTAAGATATGTTGGGTGCTTATTGTGTATTAAGCACTGGCTAAATAATTTTTTGAGGTGTTATCCCCATTTTGTTTATGGAGAAATGGAGGATCACTGAGATTATTTAACATGTTCAAGTTCCTCTTTTGCTTTTCATACTGTGATAGATCTCTTCCTCCTGCTGTGTGTGTCACATCCCTTTGGCTGAAAATGACAGGTGTGGAAGAAAGCTCTCTCCTCTTATCCTCCCTTATAAAGCCAGTTAGCAGCCCGTTTCCACCTGCTGCTAACTACTGGTACTCTTGCTGCAGTTTCTAATTACCAGTGGCACCTTAGCCTTTAGTTTACATAGGGCTTTCTTAACCATCTCCTGGATTGTTCTTTGCAGTCGTCTTAGGAGGTAGTTAGATGAAGAGGAATGGCTAAGAAGTCATATGGCAGTGACAGAGCTTGCATGCCACCACTGTTGAGTGGTAAAGCCATGTTTTAGGCACATGCAGCTTCAATAAAGTCTCCTGACCTGCAGCCCTGTGCTCTCCGCGTGTTTCTGAATACTGTTTGATCTTCCTCTTTTTTATCAGTGGGAGTGGCATCTGGGCAAGGAAGAAGTGCCACAAAACAGAGTCATCTTCACTAGTTACTGGCCCCTCCTCCATCTCTCCCTCTGTAGCCTCTAGGGTACAAGCTGGCCTCCTGGACTTCCTGCTGTTTGGGAGCCTCATCTCAGCAGTGGACCCTGTGGCTGTGCTGGCTGTCTTTGAGGAGGTGCACGTCAATGAAACTCTCTTTATCATCGTCTTTGGCGAGTCCCTGCTCAATGATGCAGTCACTGTGGTGAGAGTGCTCAGCTGTCCCCTAACCCCAGGCTGCCATGCTTTGACCAGTTGTGCATCTAAGCAGCCTCAGACCCTCCTGGTCTCCTAGGGAAGAAATAAGCTGCTTCTCCCATCCCAGCAGCCCCAGTCACTGCCTCCCCTTCATGCCTGAATCTACTTTTCTCACTTAGGTGCTGTACAAGGTCTGCAACTCTTTTGTGGAGATGGGTTCTGCCAACGTGCGTGCCACTGACTACCTGAAGGGAGTTGGTCAGTATTTCCCCCTTTTAGCTGGCATTGGAAGTCTGTTTCCCCCAGGTTGTGAAGTCCCACCTTCCTGGTATCAGGAAAGAAGAGACTGTTTGGGTGGAGAAATGGGGTCTGGGCAAAGCTCATCCTGGAATCCTGGTTCTGGATCTGAAACCTGGGGATCATGGTAGGGCTCCTCCTTCACTTTCTGCCAGGCAGCAGTATTGTCAGCCCAGGAAGGGTCTGGGCCAGGGTCATGCTGACAACCCCACTCCTCCCCCAGCCTCCCTGTTTGTGGTCAGTCTGGGCGGGGCAGCCGTGGGCTTAGTCTTTGCCTTCCTCCTGGCTCTGACCACACGTTTCACCAAGCGGGTCCGCATCATCGAGCCCCTGCTGGTCTTCCTCCTCGCCTACGCAGCCTACCTCACTGCTGAAATGGCATCGCTCTCTGCCATTCTTGCGTGAGTCCTGGGGGCCTTGTGGGTGGACTGCTGGGAGGGAGTAGTGGAGATGGTTGTCCCTAATATAAACAAAAACAGGACCTTAATGAGTCCATAGGATTCCTTTAGCCCTTGTAGGAGTGACTACTTCCTGAGGAGACAATAAACTTAAGGTAATCTAGAACTCTGGATACCTAGAACTGTCCCAAGCACTCGGGAACCTAATCTTCCTATGCCCGAAGTGTTCCTTGGAATGTGGGCTGAGCTAGAAGTGAACTTCAGACCTGGGGACAGTGGCTGTACTGCCCACAACATCCAGAACGTGCCTCAGAGTCTGCTAGTCAGAGCATGATTCTTTCCCTTTTCCCTCCAGGAGGCACTGAGTGGGAAGTCTGGAGATTTAGATCCATCTTAGGGCCACCACTAACTAGCAGTCTTCATGCCTCCCTGGGCTTTGGCTTTGAGAGTCTGACACCCTATGGTGGGCTGTGCCCCTTCCTGAAGCATGCTCAAAATCCAAAGGCTGAGGCTCCTGGAACCCCTCCTCACTTGCCATTTCTTTTTGTTCCTCTTCCAGGGTGACCATGTGTGGCCTGGGCTGTAAGAAGTATGTGGAGGCCAATATCTCCCATAAGTCACGTACAGCTGTCAAATATACAATGAAAACCCTAGCCAGCTGTGCTGAGACTGTCATCTTCATGCTGCTTGGCATCTCGGCTGTAGATTCATCTAAATGGGCCTGGGACTCCGGGCTGGTGCTAGGAACCCTCATCTTCATCCTGTTCTTCCGGGCCCTCGGTATTGCCAGCACCCTCTGTATCCCCACTTTCCTCCCCAGACACCTTTTTCTGGTAGCTTATCTCCCAATCTGAACCTATATCCTTGCCAATTCCTAAACCTCCCTCCCCTGTTGTTCACCTTTCCCATCTTTTGCCACCTTAGTCCATATACTTGGTGCCACCACTCCTCTATTCCCAACGCTTTGCTCCTGCTGCCCTCCCTCCTACTGTAGGTGTAGTCCTACAGACATGGGTGCTGAATCAGTTCCGGCTGGTCCCTCTGGACAAGATTGACCAGGTGGTGATGTCCTATGGGGGCCTACGGGGGGCTGTGGCCTTTGCTCTCGTCATCCTACTGGACAGGACCAAGGTCCCTGCCAAGGACTACTTTGTGGCCACTACTATTGTGGTGGTCTTCTTCACAGTCATTGTGCAGGTGGGAATGCCTATGAAGCTAGGTGGGGAAAGGGTCCAGTAGGCTCCGGGGACCTTGGAGCCTATGAGACAGGGCTTTTCCTATTGGGAGAAATAGGAGTGTGACTTCCCAGACCTTGAGTATAACTGGGTGGGGGAACAGAACTTAGGCCTAATTGTGGGGAGAGAAGAGAAACTGCAAGGAACTGAATAGAGCCAGATTCACTTCCTGCCTTTCATAGGGCTTGACCATCAAACCTCTGGTCAAGTGGCTGAAGGTGAAGAGGAGTGAGCATCACAAACCTACCCTGAATCAGGAGTTACATGAGCACGTGGGTACTAGAACCCCATCCCTCCACCTGTCCCTCTCTCCCTTCTGCAATTTTGGCAGAGTCCTGATCCAGTCCCCCTACCCACCCCCCTTCTAGACTTTTGACCACATTCTGGCTGCAGTGGAGGACGTTGTGGGGCACCATGGCTACCACTACTGGAGGGACAGGTGAGGGAGCTGCCCCGAGGCTCCTTCAGCAGTAGCAGCAGCAGCAGCAGCTGCCCCACCAGGCAGGGCAGCATGGGGGTGTGCCACCCTTCCAAGAAGGGACACAACCAGGTTCAGGCTGGATGACCTCTACCTGAAGCCCTTTATGGCATCTCAGGATAAGACAGGTCTCCCAATGTGGCCTTCCTGGCCTTGCATGGTTTAGCACCTGCCAGACTCCAGCCCCATTGTGCTCTGCTCTGTCTGTCTGCTAATTATTTGACCCTATTTTAGAGCTTCAGGGCCCACTATGATCCCTCAGGCTGACCACTGGGAACAACATTGGACATATTATTTCTCTGATAGAACTCTCCCTCAGCACCTTCTTATTCTTTTCAGCCTTCAGATCTCACCAATGGGATCAGTTCCTTAGGAACACTTCTCTGACGCTTGTCATGGTTACAATTTTCCACATATTTGTAATAATTTAATTAATGTCAGGTTTTCTCCCTAATACTGTAAATTCCATAAAAACAGAGACTATTCAAATTCTCCCTGGCTAAAACCCATATCAAGAAAGCCAGGTCAGTTGCTGTTGATGTGCCTACCCCATCTGAGGAAGAGCCAGCCAGCCACACCTTGGGAGTGATACTCAGGGCTGGGCCTGGCATCCTCTATAGGTGGGAGCAGTTTGACAAGAAGTACCTGAGTCAGCTGCTGATGCGACGTTCCGCTTACCGCATCCGGGACCAGATTTGGGATGTATACTACAGACTCAACATCCGGGATGCCATCAGCTTTGTGGACCAGGTGGGCCAGTGGTGGGTGGGAAGATGACCAGCAGACCAGGAAAGGGACAACAGGTAGACAGGCTTATAACAGGAAGTCAAGAATTCCCAGCTGGCTCCATAGGTAGGTGCAAGAACCAGCCTGGCTTGGGGCCCATATTGAGATTCTGACAGGTAGTGAGAAAGGTAGGAAACAGCTAGACTCTGCAGTCAGCAGATGTGATTCAAGTGTTACCATTTATAGGCTTGTGACTTTGAGTAAATCAATGTTCTTTTTTTTTTTTTTTTTTTTTTGGTGGAACTGGGGATTGAACTCAGGCCCTTGCGCTTACCAGGCAAGCGCTTACTCCACTAAGCCATCTCCCCAGCCCATAAATCAATTTTCTGAACCATAAGAGAGCAGGAATAAGAGTATCTGTGCTAGATTTTATATGTTTAATATGTAAAATATTTTGACAGTATCTAGCAAAAAGAGCAAAATAAGTTATTGTTGTTTTTTATTGCCCTGTCTGGGCCACCGTTCATCTGATTTTGGTTTTGACCCCTGCAGGGAGGCCACGTCTTGTCATCCACAGGCCTCACTCTGCCCTCTATGCCCAGCCGCAATTCTGTGGCAGAGACATCTGTCACCAACCTGCTGTGAGTTTGTTGAAATCTCTTTCCCTTTCCCAAGCTCCTTTCTACTGGTCCTCTTTCTGAATCCCTTCTGGGAAAGATTTGTCTGCAACTTTTGCCTTTCCCCTGGCCTGTGGCCTTGCCTCCTCCCCAGCACACTGTCCTTGCTTCCTGCAGGAGGGAAAGCGGCAGTGGAGCGTGTCTAGATCTGCAGGTGATTGACACGGTACGCAGTGGCCGGGACCGTGAGGATGCTGCGATGCATCATCTGCTCAGTGGAGGCCTCTACAAGCCACGCCGCAGGGTGAGAGCAGTCAGGGCAGAGACCCAAGAGTGGTGGGTGGTCTGGGAGGTGTGATCAGAAGCACAAGAGGAGGTTGGTGCCAGCTGCGGCCAGCTGTAGATGCCTCTAAGAAGAGTGCAGATTTTCATCCTGTGGGCAGTAATAAATCTTCGTGTTTTGTTTTGTTGGAGGAAGAGTTGGCCTTCTGTGGTAGCAGAGAGCAGCTCATATAGGAGGGTGTGAGTTGAGAGCTGGAAGGCAGTGCTGCATATTAGAGCTGGGTGGGGAAAAGGAGCATGTAGGGTGGGAGTGAGGTGGGTTTTGGCCTTGAGGGGAAAGGAAGAGATGATGGAGGACCAGATGATGAAGGGGAGTGGGCAACCATCTGTTTTAGGTAACCTGAGTTAGTCCCATGCATATCAAAAAGCTTTGGGTCTGGAAAGGACCAGCCCATCTGGAAGGGAACCACAAGGGGGCAGCAAGCCATTATCTTGGATCCTTGAAAAGAACCCTGCTGTTACCGTTCTTGGCAGTTTTAACAGGCTTAGAATGTTGAGACTAGGTAGGCCTGGAGGCTCATGCTCGTAATCCCAGCATTGGGAAGCCTAGGTAGGTGGATCATCAAACTTTGAGGCTCCCCTGGGCTACAATAGTGAGTTCAAGGCCAGCCTGACCTACATAGTGAGACCCCATCTTAAAAATATTCATACAGGATTGGCTTCCTTTAATTTGCATCCATTGGTCCTGATTAGACTCTTAGAAGCTCCTTAGAATAACCTTCAAAGGTTAAAATTGGCCCTCCTGCCCTCAGGCCAGCATCTCTGAGAAAGAAGGCTCAGAATGGATGGTGCTAATCTATTTGAGGTTGGCTAAGGTCAACTAGAGTGCTCCCTCACTCTTCTAGTTCTAGAACTGTGCCTGTAGCCCAGTTCTGCTTACTACCTGGGGCCCTTCTTTTTTTGGAGGGGTGGAGGGGGCAGCACTTCCCTCCTCCTGGCTTAGCCTCCAGAATTCTGGATTATAGAATTGCCACCTTACCCAGATTTGGGGCCCATATTTCCTCACAACCTGCCAAGGCCCCTCTCCCTTCCTTAGTTAATGGCTGTCTTGTCTAACATGTAGGGGTCTTATTCTTTTTACTTTTTTTCTTATCCAAATTTCAGTAGACAGAATGAAGGAACTCTCATTTATCTATCACCCAGCTCCACTAATTATCAATACATAATTAATTTTGTTTCATTTTATAGCTCCACCGTATTGTGACCACACTTATCTTAAAAAGCAGACTCCAGGCATCGTATCACATCATCTCTAAATATTTCAGTGTATATCTTTAGGTGCCAAGAATTCCTTTTTGATAATAGGAATTAAACACAGAGCCTCCACACTGAGCTACATCCCAGCCCTATGTATGTTGACATAGGATCATCTAAGTTGCCTAGGCTGGCCTAGAACTTGGGCTCTTCCTGTCTCAGCTTCTGAGAGCTGGGAATTACAGGCATGTGTCACTATGCCTAGCTCCATGAACTCTTAAAAAAACCAAATTAACACTATTATCACAAAAAGTAACAGTAATTCCTTTTTACCTTATTCAAACATGTTTAATAAGTATCTTTTCTCAGCTGGTTTGTTCAAGTCAGGATTCAAATAAAGTCCACATTTTGTATTTCAGAAACATCTTTTCATTAAAAGACAAAAGTTGTAATAGTTCCTTTCTGTTTCCTCCTTGCTGTTTATTGAAGAAATTGTATACTTTATCTTTAAAAATTTCCCATTTTCTTGATTTTGCTGATTTATATTGCAGTGTTAACATGTTCCGTCAACCCCCATATATCCTGGTTGTTAAATTTAGAGACATGACCAGATTCAGGGACATTCAATTGGTATGCTGTGTATTTCTTCCTGTGTTACATCAGGGATTATATCATGATTGGGGTGTGTGCTTGTGTGTGTGTGTGTGTGTGTGTGTGTGTGTGTGTGTGTGTAAGATTGGTCAGTAAATTCAGTCCATTCAGTTCTTATGTAGTCAATTTAAAAAGAACTGGAGTTAATTTGTGCTTATACTGTTAAATGTCATCTTATTTAATTTAGCCCATCATTCCATCGTTTGGATACCATATCTGCCACCAATGTCTGCTTCTCAGATTCATATCATCTGAAAATTTGCTAAGCCTGTTACCCTTGTATTCATCTAAATCAACATAAAAATATTGAACAGGATAGAGCTGAGGACAGAGCCCTGTGGCATTCTACTAAAGACTTTCCTCCAGACTGACATGGATCAAGCATTTTTGGGGTATGGTTACTCAACCAGTTCTGAATCTGCTTAGTTATACCATGAGACAATCCATCATTCCTCATGATCTTGCCAGAAATATCATTAGCAAGACAGAGGCATCTAGTATGCGGTTAGAAAGATGAGATTAAGACAAAGAGATGAGAGCTGGTGAGAATAATTTGGAAGCAGTCTGCATCAGAGGTATCCTCATCTCGCTACAACAGAGAAGCTTTTGGGAAGCTTGCTGACTATTCTTAGCTTTACCTCCTAGAGATTTGGACTTTGCAGTATTAATTGAAACTAAGAATCTGTGTTCTCAATAAGTCCCCCAGGTGATTCAAATGCCGCTAGTCTTATGGTGCTATTTGGGAACCACAGATCGGGACATTGGGATAGTTGAAGCCATGATAAGTTGTCTGGGGAGAGCATCTAGAGGGGAGAGAGGAGGGCCAAGAATAATACACGGGAATCCACATGGGAGAAAGGGAATCCACAAAGGAAAGAAGGAACCCTTGATGAAGCATTTGGAGATGGTGTTTCAGGCCTGGAGGCTGCATAGAGGCTATGTTGGTGTTTAGGCAGAGACCACAGGGCCAACAGCTGTGGACTTGTTAACCCTGGGCCACATTTCTGATATTTAAGGAAGAACTGGGAATGAAGGAAAGTATCAGAAGTAACTAATGGCAACAAAAGAGGCGCAATGGTATGAAAGAAAGTCATTCAAGGAGGCAGAGGCAGGAAAAAACCATGGTCAAAACTGGGTCCTGATGGGCCTCTTTGTCCCCAGGAAAGAGGGGCACCTCTGTGTACATAAGTAGAGGAACACAGATAGGAAACTTGCAGGAAGCTCTTAAAAGCCAGTCCAAGGAAGCAAAGATAGAGGTACACGAGGAGCCAGGCTGAGGATGTGAGGTACAGGTGATTTGATATACTCTTGGCTGTATTTTGGGGGATTATCTACCATTGGGTAATGAAAAGATTGCTTAGTTGCCAAGGGCAGGCACAGAAGAAGCTGAGACAGTACATAGTGAGCTTGATCTTTGTAAGAATTAAGGCCATATGAAGAAGGTAGCTCTGGAGTACATAGATCACTGGTCAAGAGGGTCAAGGGTGTCAGAAGTCCAGAGCAGATGCAGTGGTTTGTGGTGGTTTCAGAAATGGCTAGATAGAAAGACCAGCCCAAGACAGGATTCTCTGTAGCTGGAAGAGGATAGGTGGACTGGGTGTGTGGACCACACTTACTTGGAGATACAAAGTGAAATGGTTCCCATGGTCTCCTAGTAAGCATAGAGGAGAAAACACAGAGCCTGCTACCCCCCATTATTTAAATCAGAGAACTGGTAAAAGGCCAGCAGAGGATGAGGAAAGTAGGGCTTGGGTGGAATAAATTCTAGGATAAAGGGAAGATTTTCTTTAGTGAAAACACAAGAGTATCTGGCTGGATTCCTCTTTTTTTTTTTCTTTTCTTTCCTTAATTCATGGCTAGCTCTGGAAAAGCTGGACTGGCAGGACCCATAGTGATGGTGCTGGGGCTGTGGCCTGGGGTTCCTATGGAAGGCCCAGGCATCCAGCCTCATGGCAGGGTGGGGCTGTCATTGCCAGTACAAAGCCAGCTGCAGCCACCACTTCATCTCCGAGGATGCACAGGAGCGGCAGGACAAGGAGGTGTTTCAGCAGAACATGAAGCGGCGGCTGGAGTCCTTTAAGTCCACCAAGCACAACATTTGTCTCACCAAGAACAAGCCACGACCCCACAAGGCTGGTCACAAGAAGGCATGTCCTTTCTTTTTTCTTTTCTTTTTTTTTTTTGGTACTGGAGTTTGGGAATTAAACTCAGGACCTCTCACTTGCCAGGCAGGTACTGCACCACTAAGCTATATCCCTGGCCCAGTATGCATTTCTGTGGGACTTTGGTTTGGGCCTGGAGCTGGTAACATGCAGTTTTGAGCTCCCAAGTATTGGATTCTAGCCTACAGAACCCCCTGGTTGAACCATCCTTAGGGATTTGATAGCTCTTTCAGTGTGGGTTCCCTTTTAGATTCTCCTGGGCCCAAAAGAGTAAGGAAAAGCATACCAAAGTCACTTGCTACAGGAGATAAAATGGCAGGAGGAAGCTTCATTGAAGAGTTCTAGCAGCCTCCTCTCCCCAGTCATTTCAGGATGATGCATCCAGAACCCCTGCTGGGGTATGGGTTCCAGGCTGGCTGGCAAAGGGATGGTGGGATGGAAGAGCCATTGGGACTGACACAAATTCCTCCCCTGCTGGGTTAGGAAAACTTCTCCTTGTTGACACTACCAGACAACAGGGGTGGGTGTGAAGTCAGGCACTGAAGCTCAGTTTTTCTCTCTTGGTCCTCAGAAGGATGGTATGGCCAGTGTCGAGGCCATAAATAAGAAACCTCGAGATCTGGGCTTTCAGGACACAGGCAAGCAGGGTCTGGGGGTGGGCTTGAGGATGGGAGGGAGGGAAAGAATAGGGCCTGAATTCTGGAGGCCCTCCTCTTGGGCCCACCAGTGCTGAGCTAGGCTTTTCCCCTCAGGGACTAAAAAACCATGCTTACTTTTAACTTTGGAATGTTTAAAGCATTTGCTATGCAGTGTGTGGTAGGAGGCACCTGACTGGTAACTAGGCCCCAAGAACTTGGAAAATAGCATAGAGAAAAGGAGGTTGGCCTGGGCCTTTTAAGAATTGGGGGACCCTGGTGCCAAATTCCCATCTGTAAAACAGTTATTGCTGGCCATGGTGGCACACACCTGTAATCCCAGCACTCTGGAAAGCTGAGACAGGAGGACTGCAATTTCAAATCTAGCCTGAACAAACTTAGTGAGACTCAAGTAAAAAAGGTGGGGGGTGGGGAGCTGGGGATAGAGGTCAATATGAAGGCTCTGGGGTCAGTTTCCAGTACTGCAAAACAGAACAAATTAAAAAGAGTTCCCTGTGGGCTGAGTACTAATGGGCCTTCTAGCCCTCTAGGTTCTCAGGTCAGTCAGAAGTAGGATGTGTGTGATGGCATCCCGTGAGGACTTAGCTCCTGGTTGCCTCCTCAGGCTCTGCAGTCTCCCTTCCCTTCTTCTCAAATCCCTTATGTCCTAGACCTTTGTCCAGAGGAGCCAGAGGAGAAAGGAGGGGCCTCTGTTCCCACAGGCTCTGCCTGTAGAGATAGGAGCTGGCTTGGGGTTGTGTGGTACCAACAGGCAGCTGCTGGTCTGGCCACCCCAACTCACCTCTTGTCCCTGTCTAGCTGCTGTGATACTAACTGTGGAGTCTGAGGAGGAGGAGGAGAGCAACAGTTCAGAGACAGAGAAGGAGGACGACGAGGGAATCATCTTTGTGGCTCGGGCCACCAGTGAGGTTCTCCAAGAGGGAAAAATCTCAGGTAATGGCTTCCTTACTGCCTCCCTCCCTACTGGAGCAAGTTGGCTTCCTCCCTCTGCTGTCATGGCCTGTGCTCAGACAACTCCCTCTTCCTAGTTACTAGTTTAATCACTAGCCAGCATTTCATGAGCATCTCCTTTCTATCGGAATCCTGACATGATCTGGTCACCCCTCACAACTACCAGGGTGGGGAACAGACCTGACAGAGCCTAAAGGACCTGTGATTTGTCTGGCATCACATGGCAGAACCAGAATTTGACCCTGAATCAGATCCTGATCTGATTCCAAAGCCCCACCCCCCTTTAATTCAGAGGAACCTGAAGTGATAAGCAAAACTAACCAACAGGCTCTGCTATGACCCACGCACATTACATCTGCCCTCAGGTAGGTCCCCCTGTGAGGGTGATGCCTGACCTAAGAGAGAAATGTATATATTTCTACAGGTGGAGACCAATTCATTCAATGCTAGTCATCACTGGTAGTTGGCGCAACACTAACCCTAAGTGACCTTTTAGAAAGGCTTATTACCTTACCTTTTTTTTTTTTTTTTTTTTTTGGTGTGGTACTGGGAATCAAACTCAGGACCTTGTGCTTGCCAGGCAGGTGCTTATGCTGCTGAGCTATCTCCTCGGCCCTAGAAAGGCTTATTACAGAAAATTTCAACAAACATAATGATAAACAATAAAATACAGCCAGGCATTATGGGGTTTGCCGGTAATCCCAACACTCAGGAAGCTGAGGCAGGAGAGTCACCATGAGTTTAAAGCCAGTGTAAGCTACATGAGTGAGTTCAAGTCTAGCGCCTTCACTATATAGCGCAATGCTGCCTCAAAACGAAAACAGTAAGGGGCCAGGGAGATGGCTCAGTGGAATAAGCGCTTCCCTGGCAAGCGCAAGGGCCTGAGTTCAATCCCTGGTTCCGCAAAAAAACCCAAAAACAATGAAATATACTATTAACAGCTTCAATAATTACCTACTCATACCTAATTTTATTTCAGCTATTTTATTTATGATCACTTTTTTTTTAACCACTGTATTGTTTGTTTTGGTTTTAGTTTTGGCTTTAATGTTGGTTTGGGTTTTGGGTGTTTTTTTGTTTTGTTTTGTTTTTGTTTATTTGTTTTTAAGATAGTGTCTTATTAAGTTGCCCAGGCTGGCTCCAACTCACTGTGTAGCCCAGGCTTGCCTCAGACTTACAATGATCCTCCTGCCTTAGCTACCCAAGTGCTGGGATTTAGGCATGTACCATCATACCCAGCTTTTACTGGGTTCTTAAGAAAAATTTCACCAGGCATGGTGGTGCATACCTGTTGTAATCCCAGCACTTGGGAGGCTGAGGCAAGAGAGTCACAATTTTGAGACCAGTCTGGACAACTTAGTAAGACCTTGTCTTAAGATGAAAGTATTTTAGAAAGGGCTAAGATATAGCTCAGTGGTAAAGTCCCTTTGGAGTTAGTTCCCAAGCACCACCCCAAGCTCCTCAAATACCACACTGTATTACCATGAATAAGTACTTTAGCATAAAAGACAAGGATTATTTTTAAAAATACAACCACAATTTTTTTTTTTTTTTTTGTATGAGGGATTGAACCCGGGACCTTGCATTTGCCAGGCAGGCAAAATGATTTATGCCTATATCCCCAGCCCATCATTACCGTATATAAAGTCTTCGTTAACTATATAATCAGTGCTCAGATTTTACTGGTTATTTTAATACTTTTTATAGTAGTTTGATCCAAATAAAAATAAGGTAAGACCCACATGTTTTATTTGGGTAATGTTAGAACCCTAAGGTTGAAACATTTTGTCCCCAAGGGAGCATTTGGCCATGTCTATAGAAATTTTGGCTGTCAACTGGGGAGGGTGCATTGAGTGGGCAGAGGCCAAAGATACTGCAAACATCCAGCAGTGCACAGGGCAGATTCTACAACAAAGAAGTAGCTGTCTTAAAATGCTAATAGTGTCAACTCCCCTTCTTTTACTTGTAATATATTTGTTGAAGAAACTAGGTTATTTGTCCTGCAGTCTTTCCCTGCCTGGATTTTGCTGATATGATCACTGTCTTCCTGTTTCTTACATTTCCTTAAATTTAGATCACATTTCAGGGTGTTTTTTTTTTTTTCTTCAAAGTTTTATTGATAAACAGATAGCAATGAGACAGTTTCAAATCAAATTGGAAGTACAGTTTCAACAAATAACACACTGCATATATTCTTCTTAGTGGTTAATTGCTGTACAAGAAGTGGACTTGTGATCCTATTTACAAACAACATTAGAACAAATCATTCTATTCATTAAGAGAATGCACCTATATATCTATCCTAACCACTTTGAATACACAGATACAAAATGGACATTCATCGGTATACCCCATTTTTTCTAAGTTCTGTTATTGAATATTATAGGTGTGTAAACTCAGCAAAATATTCTAAAAGAGTCCAGTAGCCCATAATAGCATTGGGTCTTCTGTTTAACTGGCAATGTCAGAAATTATTGACCTGAGTCGCCCACAGCTCAACATAACAGCATGGCTTTATTTCCTATATTTCGTCTTCATACTTTTCTACTGGATGGTTAAGACCAAGGTAAAGCAGGACCTATGCAACAAGAGTTGTAGCTTTTTGGTCTGAGAAGGTCAGTGAAATGCCCTCAGGATTTATCTTGAGGTCCTGTACCTCAGATTGTAGAACCTTTGTCAGTGCAGCCATGTGGATGAGTCACGGCCATTGCTTGGCCAATGTGGTCTCTGTGAAAGCCTGAGAGAGTGTCTTCACATTTCAGGGTTTGTTTTGTTTTGCTTTTGGTATTTGTATTGGGGATTGAATTCCGGGCCTTTGCACTGAGCTCTCTCTCCAGCTTTCTTTTTCTTTTTTCTTTTTGAGACAGGGTCTCACTAAGCTGCCCAGGATGGGCTTGAATGTATCACCCTCTTGTCTCAGCCTCCCAGACAGCTGTGATTACATGTACAACCACATTTGGCATTCAGTTTTGATTTTTTTGGTAAGAATGCCTCTTGGGCTGGGGAGATAGCTCAATAGAATAAGTGCTTGCCTGGCAAGCTCAAGGTCCTGAGTTCAATCCCCAGTACCAAAAAAAAAAATACCTCCTAAGTATTGATGATGTTGTTTCCTATTGGTCATATCAGGAAGAATATAACATGGTGGGGTCTCTATTTATAAGGCTAATGTTTGGTTTGGTTTGGTGGAACTGGGGATTGAACTCAGGCCCTTGCACTTGCCAAGCACTTATTCTACTGAGTTATCGCCCCGGCCCCTATAAGGCTAATGTTGATCACTAGGTTCACTTGTTCCCTTGATCTGTTACTAAGTTCCCGTTAACTTTTCTTTAAAGTCTTAGCGGCCACAGTGGTCACTGCCAGAGCTAAGATTTCATTGATTGCAAAATGGTGGTATTCTACATCTGTTTTTTCATCTGCATTTATTAGCATGAAATATATATATATCTCCCCTTATCAATTATTTGGTTACTCTTATGTATAATCTATATAGGAAAAAATGGATAAGTGCTTGACTCTTTGCTTTTATTTCAGTTGTCAGATAGCATTAAGACAGTTTTAGTTTTGTTGGTATTAAATTTTAACACTGCAGGCCTTTTAAGAGATATAATTTCAGTTTTAGTCATGCATCAATACATTTCATAAGGCACTCAACCAACGGGGGCTGACAAGACTTAGCTGAGTGGTACAGTGCTTTGCCTAGGCATGCGTGAGGCCCCAGATTCTATCCCCAGGACCACAGAAACACCAGAAAAGATTCGACTGGACTTTTCTGGACTTCATCAATAAACAGATGCGTGCTGAGCACTTGTATATACAAGGACTGTGCCACCTGCTGTTCTGGGCTTCTCAGCTCCCATTGCCTCTTGCCATCCTACCTCTGGCACAGCTTCAGCCTACTGTTAGGTTTGCCAGAGTTCACACTCCTGAGCTGTTTCTCAAAAAAACTGCAGTGGATGCTCAGGCAGTGTGCTCAGCAGGCAGCAAGACCTTTAGCCTATCGCCTCAAGGTCATCCTCTCCCTCACTGCCTGTCTCACTTGTGCTGGCCGGCTGGGATGAGGCCTGGCAGGATGCAGTGTCTGAGACCAGTGCTTCAATTCTGGTGAGGGTGACAGAGTGAAGATTTCTTTCCTAACTGGCTCCTGCTTTCTCATGTTGCATTTACTTTCATTTTCAGTAGCTATCCCTTGAGCACTGGCTTTGTGTCCAGTTGTGTGCTAAGTATTAGAGACACAAAGAGCAAAACCTGCTGTGGTGTTTCCTCTCAGCAAGACACTCATCAAAGAATCACACAAATAGATGTGATATGGCAACTGTGAAATGAATCTACTCATGAGAATGTGCTTAATATTCTCAAGGATACTCAAGGATTCCACTGCATTCATAATGAGCTCATGTGTACTTTTCATCCCTAGGAAGCCTTGAGCTGTGCCCGAGCCCACGGGTAATTCCTCCCTCACCAACTTGTGCAGAGAAGGAGCTACCTTGGAAGAGTGGGCATGGGGACCTGGCAGTGTACGTGTCTTCAGAAACCACCAAGATTGTGCCTGTGGACATGCAGATGGGCTGGAATCAGAGCATCTCATCCCTGGAGAGCCTAGCATCCCCTCCCTGCACCCAGGACCCCACTCTGACCCGCCTGCCTCCCAGACAACTGGATGTTGATGAGCCTCCGGCCCTTCTTGACCTGTCTTCTGACCCTCGCCCTACCTTTGCCTTTCCTCCAAGCCTCGCCAAGGCTGGTCGCTCTCGCAGTGAGAGCAGCGCTGACATCCCCCAGCAGCAGGAGTTGCAACCCCTCATGGGCCACAAGGACCGCACCCATCTTAGCCCAGGCACTGCTAACTCTCACTGGTGTATCCACTTCAACAGAGGGGGTAGACTGTAGCCCAGGGCCTTGGGAAAGAGTAGGAGGAAGTCTGTGTGAGAACTATTCCCTGGGCAATGGGCAAAGTAGCTTATTCAGCCTGACATAGAGCCAGAGTGACCTGGGAGGCCTTCTTGGGGCTGGTCCTCATAGGGACTCTTAGAACTTTCCTGCTCCTAACTAACCCATTTCACTTTCTATTTCAGTAATGGCTGAAGACCCAGTCCAGGGTTCTCAGGGCTAGGCCAAGATATGGGTAGCTAATGTTCCTTACCAAGAGGTCTTCCTGGGGTCACCACAGACCCCAAGCAAGAATATCATTCCTTAGTGGATGCTGTCCTTCCCTGCCCTTTACCCCCTCCAGCACCAGATCAGGGATGATGACCTGGCAATGAAGTTCAGTGAGGGGGGCAGGTGCTGGTCCTCAGAGTGGATGCAATGGGAGATGCAGCAGGCCTCAACCTGCTGGGTCAGCTACCCACGACCAATTATTTTTAGGGTGGTGGAAATCTTTCTTCATTTCTTATTTTAGTACCTTTCCTCTACTGCCAGGTACTGGGGCAATAGTTCTTTCTTTTCTAGGACCAGGGGTCCGGGCCAGGCTTCAGTTCAGGGATGCTTCTTAGCCAGGGTCCTGGGGATCTGCTGCTTTGGGTCCAAGTCCTGAAGTTTCTCATCCTTGGATCTGGGTTTACTAAGATGGGATGCAGTACTCTCTGGGTTCCCATGCACCACCTCAACATTTCTGCAGGCAAAGGAATGCAGGAATCCTAAGCCAGGCCACTGACCCACTGCTCTGGGGTCTAGGACACCTGGCTGCAGTGTGTATGTGGGTGAGTGGCAGCTGGTGGCTTTCTTGAGGTTAGCTCCTGTGTTGTGTACTTTTGTACTTTGAACCTAAGATACATTAAATATCTCAGATGGATAGAAGTGTTCTGTCCGTGTGTCTTGAGAATTCTAGGGATATGGGGAATGGGATCTAGATTCCTACCCTAGGGCTTCTGGGGTAGAGAACAGATGGAAGACCCTGGGCAAGGCTGTTATGTTTCCAGTCTTCACACCTCTAGGAGGACTAAAGTGACACCAAATGGATTGGGGGAACTGAGAATCTATACAACAGGAAAGGCTAGCATGCAGAAAGAGACTCCAGAGGTTAAGGGCCAAGCTGCCTGAAGATGGCAGACACCATGCTTGGAGCAACAAAAGCACTCCTGGAAAACCTAGAGCCAGGTGTGGGACAAATGAACACAAGTATCCTGCTGCACATGGCAGGCAGGAAGGCAATCTCAAGAGAGTTGATTATCCTGAGTGTTTATGGTACTAATTGTGTAGTGTCCAGAAATCTTGAGGTAACGGAAGTCCCCAAATCTAATTTCCACAGTGTTCCACTTTTTTAAAAGGCATTTTTATTGAGGTAAATAAAATGCATATGCCATAAAAATTCACCCATTTAAAATGTGCACAGCAAGCTGGGTGTGGTGGCTTCCATCTAAAATCGCAGCACTTGGGAAGCTGAGGCAGGAGGACTGCTGTGGATTCAAGGCCAACCTGTACTATGTAGTGAAATCCTATTTTAAAACATCAAAAATCATGTGTACTGGGCTGGCCAAATAGCTCAGCAAACTAAAGTGCCTGCTTAGGCAGAGCACAGCAGCTGGGGTTCGATCCCCGGCGTGCCATGCCAGCCCTGCCCCCGGGGTGCGCGAGACAGCGATTGAGACTGGATGTGGTGGTGTGTGCCTGTAATCCCAGCACTTGGGAGGCTGAAAACAGGAGGATCACTACAAGTCCGATGTACGTATGAGACCCTGTAGGGCCTGTAGACCCTGTACCAAATACATTAAAACAAAATTATGCATACTTAAGTGTTTTTAATGTTTGCAGAGGTATGCAAGCCTTACCATAACCTATAGAACATTTTCATAACTCCCCAAAGGAACCCCGTATCCCAAAGAAGTCATTCCTCACCTCTGTCTTTCCCAGTGCTAGGAAATAACCAGTCTGTCCACTTTCTATGTCTGAGTCAGAGAACTCGACACATTTTGAAGGTTGCAGACATGGTAACTAACATTTACTTTTCTATGATATACACAGGGACAATGCAAGCAGGATGAACAGTGACTGCTTTCAAGTCAATTACAGCTAGCAGTAATAAGGGCAGGTAGTTAACTAACAGTTGACAGTTTGAAATCAGTCTCAGCTGGCACTCACCAGCTACATCATCTTGAACATGTCACATAATCTCTTTGAGCCTAAGTTTCCTTTTTTTAAAAAAAAATTTGCATTTATTTTATGCTTAGTTTATCCCCGTGCCATAAGTTTTTGTTTCTTCAGTTTCTTTGGGATATCTTTTTCTTCTGTGCAACTTCCTCCTCTGGTTTAGGAACAATTTGTTCCTTTTCAGTAAGGATTATCTCAATATGGCAGGGGGAGCTCGTGTATGGATTAATCCAGCCATGAGCTCTATAAGTACGGCGGCACATCTTGGGTGCTTTGTTCACCTGGATATGTTCAATAACCAGAGAATCTACATCTAAACCCTTAAGCTCAGCATTACTCTCTGCATTTTTAAGCATGTGCAGCAAAAATTCAGCACTCTTTTTGGGCCACCAACCCCTGGGTAGGTGTGCCTAGCCCCATTGTTTGGCCTGGGCACACCTACCAACTCCCTACTGTAACGCCAGAATGGTACACATTGCTTCTTTAACGTGACATCCTTCAGATGCTTGGTGGCCTTTTGGATATGCACAGCCTTGATGGCCTGGGCAGTTTCACACATGTTCTTAAACTGAACGTGAAGATTTGAGTCTCTTGATTTGCATGATTTTGTGGGGTTTTCTGGGTCAAGAGAGTAGCAAACCATTTTCACAGGTCACCTCAGGCCGCTCACAGAAAGAGGAACCTCAGTTTCCTTATCTCTAAAATGGGCTAACAATCATTCTTAGTTTATAAGATTGCTGCCAGGGTTAAGAGATGAGGCAGATCGGAAGCTGGGCATGAAGGCACACATACCTGTAATCACAGCACTCTGGGAGGCTGAGGCAGGACAATGGATGTTTGAGCTGAAACTGGGCAACTTAGTGAGATTCTGTCTTGGGAAAAGTGATGAGGGAAGGGGGATATAAACCAGGGCAAATACCCTGGATTCAATTCCTAGTAGTGCTGAAAGGGGGACAGGAAGAAAAGAAAAAACAAGTCAGGGAGGAATCTGGCCCAGGCCTGACCCATGGGAAGGGATCATAAGTATATGCTATTATCTGTTTTATACTGTAAGCCACTGGTAGAAGAGTTCTATGGAGCTTTGAGGAAGTATGGGTGGGCTTCCAGGAGAAGTGTTGTATGGGGGAGAGGGGGACTTTAGGTGGGCGCTGTATGGAAACCCAGGTGTAAGGTAGATTAATAGGAAAAAAAAAAAAAAAAAAGGCTAGCTATGAAAGGCCTTTAGGGAAGCTGCTCCAGCAGCCCAGGGGACATGAATAGGCTGGTGCTAGGGAAATGGGTAGATGTTTCCAGATTTTAATGTCAGAATCACTGGGGAATCTTGTGCATGTTATCAAACATGCAGATTCCTAGGCCTGCCCCAAAGGTTGATTCAGCATGTCTACAGAGGCCTGGAAAGCAAGCAGGCACAGCAGGGGGTGGATGGCTAGGGAGGCAGGCAGTTGTCTGCTATGCAGGAGAGCAAATCAAGCTCACAGTTAACCACCTCACTGGACAAGATGGCAGTACTGGCCTTCAATGCTGTCTGAGCTGAGAGGAGGTGGCTGGTTGGTATTCCTTAGCTGGGATGGCTGGGGAAGACAGGAGGTGGCTGGTTGGTATCCCCAGCTGGGATGGCTGGGGTGGGCTTCCAGGAGAAAGAGGTGCTATATCCAGTTCTTAAAGGAGAAAGGATTTTGATTAAAGTGGGTGAGAATCTTCCAGATAGAGCGCACAAATCTTGTAATCAGATTTGTTACCTGGCCAGTGTGGGAGCTGGGCTGAAAGGCTGTGATTCCTCTGGATGGCTATGAATACCATACTAAGGCCAAAAGTGAGAAAGGTTTAGGTTTGAGGTACCTGTTGCCTGCACTGTTTGAGGCAGTACTAAAGAAAGGTACGACAAGTTTGGGGTGGAGTGAGGGAAATGACTGTGGGTCTGTTATCACTAAGCCCACTGATGGATGTCCAGAGCTCACATTTTTTTATTTATTTATTTTTCACATTTTATTTTTGACTGATTCCCATTGGCAAAGAATGGGAGGCTGAATCAGGGTTGGGCAAAGGGCAGGGGAGGGAGGCCCATCTACATCTTATGATCTCAGTGGAAAAGGCTGCTCTGAGGAGATTCTGCTGCCAGTGGAGCCACAGAGATGGGCTCCATGAGTCACTGCTGAGTCCTGCAAGCTCAGCCCTCAGAGCTAGCTGTGGTCAGCCATCCCAGACTGGCTCCAGGCCCTGCCCCCTCAATGTTCCCCACTAGGCCTCAGTCTGTCCTTGCTTCAGTCTGTTCCTTTGCCATCTGGAGACTATGCATCCTGCAGTTCTCTGCTTCTTCTGTCAGCCTTTCAGGCTGAGCCTCTGAACCTGTCTCTACCTATGACTCTGGTTTCCATGTGATTCACTGATGGGGAGTGGTGTGTGTGTGTGTGTAGTTTCAGGCACCTCTAAACATCTGTGCTAGGCCCAGTGATAAAGTACAGAAGTGGACAACATACATCTAGTCTGCTTACAATGCACATTCTATGTGGGGTGGGAAACCAGCGGCCAGCTTTGCCTCCATCTCAGCATGTCTGCACCTCCTGACTGCCTGCTGTGCCAGGGTTAGCTAGGGTTTGTGGCTTGAGCTTCTTCTTTGCCTCTGGCACCAGGAGGTTATGTGTGCTTGCCAGCAGGGTCTCCCCACCCCAGCTATTAGGGCTCCTGGGGGGTTGATGAGTGGAAGTGAGCAAGAAATGGGTTAGGAGGGAACAGGAGGCAGTGAGTCAGCAGAAGCGGCTTTGGGACAGAGCAGGGAGAGCACCAAGGTTGGATCTGATGCTCACTGAGGCTAGAGCATGGAGCAAACGAGATCTGGCTGAGGGCTGGGGCTACAGCAGGACAATGCCAAGGCCAGCTCTGTTCCTTGTTCTTCCTCTATTATCTGCCTGGGAGTTTGCACTCTGGGTGCCTAAATAAGTGGGTGGGGTCAATGTTTTTCCGACTGTGCCTGTTGATGTCCAGGTTAATGAAGGAGGCATCTGCCTTAGAGCCAGGGAAGGCAATTACCCCAATGTCCTCCCACCCAAGGTTCAAGGGCCTGGGCATTCTGCCAGGACCTAGGTATGGTGTGGGGCTTTTTTTCTTTCTTTCTTTCTTTTTTTTTTTTTTTGGCAGAACCGGGGATTGAACTCAGGCCCTTGTGCTTGCCAGGGAAGCGCTTATTCCACTGAGCCATCTCCCTGCCCCCCCCTTTTTTTTCTAATACTGCCAACCTTCCCATAATCTCCACACAAATTCTGAGGAGTATCAGGGCAGGTCCACATATCCCAAAGAGACCCCAAATCTCAGAGCTGGAAGTGATCTCATAGTTATCCAATTGCTTTTTATCAGTTAGTATCCTCTCACTGAGGGTGAAAATGAAGGGGTAGGGTAAGGCATGAACCGTGCCCAGAGCTACTAGCAGTGAGCAGACACTTGACAAATGGGGTCTTCCTTAGTCCTCCTGGCATTCCAGAAGAAAAGAGTTTCTTTTTTGCAGGTGAGGAAGGTGAGGTGCAAAGAGAAGAGGACTTTCTGGAGGTCTTGTAGCAGGTGAGTGGAGGAGTCAGGCTGGGCCTAGTCTCCAGGCTGTCCAGGGCCCCAATCTTAACATTATTTTCCTCAGCTGGACTTTTCTGCTAGGTGGGAAAGATGCCAGGGTACCCGAGGGAGTGAACGGTCAGAAGTCTCACTGCTCCT